CATCTTAAGCTAATCTATAGGGCGTGGTTGCAAAAATTCTCGTCGTTCAGGGCCTACGAAACCTTGGAAGTTCTCTGTTGGAATGTGTGCTACAAAGAAATCAAGCGTCAAAAAGACCACAACCTTATTTTGAACAAAAGATAAATCAGTAAAGAGGTATCAAATCTTTTGCAGACCTTTCCTTTGCTGACAAGTAAGAACAGTGACAACATATATTTTACAAAGTTTCTCTAGGCTATAGAATTCTGAGTTGGAAATACTGAGCCAATACTTTATTTTGATAGATGCCCATTGCATTGTTCTACTTCATTTCTAACCTGGTAAAGAGCCACTCTTTTAACGCTATTTTCTTTTTAAAAAAAGACCTCCAAGCTCATAACTCTATAGTACGTAAGGAATTATATGTAGCTAATGCAAGAACTTGCCACTTTTAATAACAAACTTTTTACAAGAAGGCCACCCGTGTAAACAATACGATACAAGAAGGTCTTTTCTTATATAGGAACAGAGGGAGATGAACTTACAATGATTACTTCCCATATCAGCAAAAACAAACAAAACAGGCAACAAGCTTTTCACTGTTTGCTTCGCGTAATAAAACTGCAAGCCGGCTGTAGAGTAAAATAAAATAAAGGCCAAGAGCAGGTCGTGCCCAGAATCAAAGCAAGTTGTTTTCTTAGGATTGCTACTCTAAAGCGAAAATCCACACATTCCAGGACAATGCCAGCATTATAGAAGAGAGTGGATTTTCTTCTCAAATACAAGCAGGTGTGTTTTCTTAACGATTTCGCATTGATAGAAATACACTAGACGGAGGTTGCATAGATTGCTCATCATTTCGTTTGCTAACTACAGAAACAACTTATCGAATATGCAATTTCCAGCAGATCTGATGCAGAACAGCAAAGTATGAGTAACTTTGCCTTACGTATTGATTAAAGCAATCCCAACAGCCTCCACACCAGATTGAGGCTTGGTGTTAACTAACACTTTTCATTTTTTATTTATGCAGTATACCACCCATAGTTATACAATACAATACAATACAATACAATACAATACAATACAATACAATACAATACAATACAATGCAATGCAATACAATACAATACAATACAATACAATACAATATCAAACACTACAATATAATGCAATGCAATACCTATAGTTAAAGGGGGAGTAATCGATCCGTTTTGGTATCTTTTTTAACTAGCTGGAAGAAAATGCGCGCGCGTGACACAACCGAGGCTCTTGTACGTGTAGCAGTTGTTCTGCTTTTTAACACTAACTTAAATTAGATAAAACGCATTTAAAATGTTTCTGGTGCGAGAGGTTTTATCTCACATTGTTATTGTTCTGGAATTTCAACCCATCAGCTAACGTTTGTTTCCATTCATAATGTGAAAGATCTATTAAAGGTTTCTTTATCAATATCCTCTAAGTTTTCTTTATTTTTATCAAGTTCCTCTTTCCAACAAGCCCCCGCTTCGAAGCACAAAATGAAATCAACTCCTTCTCTCTATTGAGCTCCCCCCCCCCTGTAACATGAAGACGGTTAAGGCAACTGCATTAAATTGTTAGAAGTTAATGGTGCTTGTTTTCTTAATATTTCTAATTTCTAACGTCAAAATCTTTAGAGTCAAGTGTTTTTGGTCAGTTCTACCATTTCCCGGTAGCCTTCGAGACTTGCACCAAAAGTAAGAATCACTGGAACAATTAGTCCATCTTCAAACATTTTTCGAACACCCACGTTAATGCGGTATAGAGCTTCCTAGGGGCTAATTTGGTATTGACGCAAGTGGAAATATTGGCTTCCAGGTCTACAGACTAAGAGAAAATTGGGAAGGGAAAAAATTGTTTCGAAATGCTGATAACCGATGAAAATGGTTTTGAGATAGAATGGGTTCATCTCTTTATCCAGTCTGTCACCCAGCACATGTATATTTGGAAATATGAATTCCTTATTTAGTAAATCTACACGTTCTCAGTTCCTTTCATAGTAGATCGAAGATCGAATAAGCTTTAACTTGCCCTGTGAAAGAGGCAAGAAGTCACACAAGCAAAAATATGAAATTTCTTCCGGCAATTTATCAAAGCACAGTTTCGAAATTTTTTTGTAAATTGAGTTTGTCTGCCTCATTCAAGATTTTTTTCATTTAATCAGGAAGACTCCAACACAAATCTTCCGAGAATGCAAAGACAGTTATATGTTATTCAACCTAAGACTGCACACCATCGATCTTTCTTTGAAATTTCTCGAAGCAGTTGCATTACGCAAGGATGAAAATACTTTCTAAGATTATCAAGAACTTCGTATCTTAGCTGGTTACCTCTAAGAAAATATTGCAATGTGATAGAATTGTCTGTTCTTTGCACCGGCGTAGGCTTTTCATTAAAATTAAGAACGCTTTTAACGTTCGGTGTCACGAGAGAAGTTCAGAAGTACAAATGCAAAAGCCACTTAATCTTCTGCATAGGAAAACAAGTATTATTGGTTAAACCAAAAACAGTCAAAGCTCAAATCCAGCAATTGGATTTGTCAGTGCATTTTCTCGAGAAGCTTTTTTCATGTAAAGATGAATCCTTGAATACAAAGAGATTATTTTACGCCCACAATATGGCACCAACTATTAGAAGAGCGACATCATTCACCATGTAAGTCTCGTACTTGACACCGGTTGAAGTCCTTGCATGGCATGCCCACAAAGCTGCCCTTAGATTAACCTTTTAACTGAAGATAGCTGTGTATTTCAAAATCTGCTGAACTGGTTATCAAGAAGTGATTTTTCTCTTTTGGTTATTCATAATATCGAAATGTGGAGTAAAGAAGTGAAAGCAACTGGTACGAGCTAGCAAATACAACACTTTAATCTTCTGAAAACGTGTGCAATATTTGTGAGTCGAGTTAATATAATCAGTCTGTTATGATTTGTATAATGTAGGAGACACTTCATCAATGATAATTTTAGTTATCCCATAATGGGTCAGGCTTCCAGATATTGATGGACGGTAAGCAGTGGTGACATTAGAATATCCTTGACAATTTCAACTCTCTTCTCTAAGAAACTCAGACCTTCAATAGTTTTTCAATAAATAAAAGGCATCTTCTGCGTTGAAGATATTTCGTTTTCTGATGATGTAAGTTTTGGAAGAAGGGTAAATCTTTGCGACAGATAACTGTCTACTGAAACTCAAAAAACCAAATCTAATAGGATGGTTAACTTAACTAAAAACCATGATGAAATGAGATTTCCACGCAAGTTATTGTTATACTGTGACCTCGTAGATAAATCGATTGCCGGTCTGCAAATTCGGAAAATGCTGCAAATCCAGCTTTCAAGTGTCTGAAATCGTTCTGAAAAGTATCCCCTAAAGGCAGACTGAGCCTCAAGGCTTGGTATTAAAAAGCTTGAAAGAATTAAGCCTTCGCGTAGAAGAGGTGGCTTTTTGCACTACCGACAATGTCTGCGAAAACTAGTTAGAACACCTAGTTTGCACTGGAAATAAATGCATATTCTCCTTTCATTATCCAGTTTCAAGTGAACAGATTTCTCTCTCTAATCAACAAGAAACGGAACGTTTTAATATGGGGGGGGGGAGAGAGAAATTGAGTAATAGAGACGATGAGCATGTTGCAACACTTTTAACGGGCATTGTAGTTGTTTCTATGACCATGCAAACTTTCAAATCATTACAATAAATATTCAGGCACGCCCATACCTCAACATGCAGACTACTTTCGTGGATGAATTTCTCGCTTAACAATGAAGAGTAGTTGTACACCACCAAAGTATTCTATGTAAGGAAGATTAGGGGTGGACTCGATCGAACCAAACCCAAGTTACCCTTTCGCGGTGAAACGGTCTGTGCTTGACTGCAGTTTGACAACAAAAAGCGAATCGTACTAGCTACTTTTGTGCGGCAGATACAAGGATGTAAAACTGCCTTATAGTTTCTTAGATTTTTACGGCATCAGTCGCATGACTTGAAATGAGCGTTGAAACTGAATCTCCGCATGTATCGCTTAAGATTCCAACTTCCAATCCACATGCTTAACTAATTTTGATGGATACATTGTCTACATACAGTCTTGAGATGGAGAAATGAAACGGCTTAATAGTGTTAGTTAGAACATAGTATTAACAAAATTTGATATGCAATAAGAAATCATAAAACAAATAACTGAGCAGCATTTCATGACGTGTCAATATCCTATTTCTTATCTGAAAGCTTCCCAAAGGAAGAGCGGAGATATGGAGAGTTTGTCGAAGCAGAATAGACTGGGTGATCTTCGATTTCTATGGGTATGCTTCACAAGAGATGATTCAAGCCAGAGAGAGAGACCAAGCTATTTGATAAAGAGAGAGATACTTGGTCTAAGGCAAAGGGTAATAGCATAAAAATGTGGATAGACAATTTATGGTATCTTCAAAGATAAAGAGCAGATAGGAAAGCTAGCCGTTTTTTTTATAAAATAATTGACAGCAAGATAGATGGGAAGGGACTTGGGCTTTCAAAGTAAGGTTTAATTCGATCAGAAGAACGTCTCTCGCACTTAAAGCAAGTTAAGATCTCGCACATCCCGCTGTGTGCCAAGCAGGTACTTTACCGTTTATCCGAAAGTGCTTTTCACTGTAAGAAAATGCCTGCTAAACTTGGTTAACATATTGGTCTAAAGCTGCTTACTATACAGGTTTTTAAAGTGCAGCTCCACACTGGAAGACCTTTTAAGCTATCATTGTCGCATTCCTCAAAGACAGCTGCATCTCAAATCTGAAGCGATACGAGTTCGGAAAAGATTATGCATAACATTGCACAGGAAAATCAATTCCAATTTAAAGAATTCAATGAAACAGTTAGCTGTAGTAAACTGATTTAATGCATTCCGAGACACGTACAGCCCTCGTACGCTTGTCAGGTTAAACAATGTAGCGGAATAGCAGGTGCAGACCCCCGGTAGCAGGCTTTGCTCAGCAAGTCTTGGGTTTTTATTCTTTTAGAGAAACATACAACATTCCACTTCAAAAGCAGCCACTTGTATGGAGTTGGAGACACCCTGTTAAGGCCAACGAAACGACTCAGATGAAATGCAGCTGGCCTAGGCATTCACTCAAGACGGTTCTTCGCTGTTACCTTTAGCTGATGGTATGTATGCCTTTATCATAATACCTTCTTCCACTTAAATCACTATTCTGTATTCGAGTTTACGAAATGTTGCACCGTTTTACAAAGAGGTCCCATTTCTAGAGGTATCTTAATTTTTATATATTTCTGTAGGAACAACAAGGCTTTTTATTTTTCCATTTGTTATGTATTAGAGTATTCCTAAATCATTTTTTTTTCTGAAAATTTTCTTGAGATGACAGTGCTCTAGAAATTTGTGTTAAATACTTCAAATACGCTGCAACGGACTTGGCTTGCGCAAAATATTTCAAGCATCAGCAGAGCCTTACTCCATTAAGAGAAATATCTCGAGCAAGGAATAAAAGGTTTTTGTTAATCATTAGCTGAATCGAACGGACGGTTTTCTTGATCATAAATCAAGGTTCCATCTGATTTTCTGAGCAGTTTCCTATGAATAATTAAAAGTTGCCAGCTTCGCCGAGCAGAGATTTGTGAGAAAATTTGCAAAATCTTATCATATACTAACAAAAAGAAGGTTTCGTTATGGAATTAAAGCATTAATCTTTTTTCACGCAGTTTATGTCAGGCTCTATCACTGTATCTCATCTCGTAGCAGATACCCAAACTCCTTGCAATCATATGGACTTTACGTCAAAAACTATATGTCGCTGATTCAATACGAGCGAATATTTTATGTTGATGACTTCATGCGGACCGACAGTCTGAGTTTTGGCGCAATTTTGTAAGATTCGAAAATCTTTTGATTCTTATATTGAACAAAACGGTTAATGCATACCTAGTTTGATGGGATTTATATTGATGCTTCAACCCAGATATGTACTAGTAAGCTAAAAAGCAACAACAAATTGTTCAAAGCTGTTCCATTGCAGCAATTAAAACCGCCAGCGACAACTTTAACACAACACAAAAAATTTGAATAGGATATTAGCGTTTTCCCACCTTCTGTAACATGATTTCAAAACAACGGAATTAGTATGCGGCAGGTGATAAACTTAATGCTAAAACCAAGCGTTAAATAAACGCAGAAAGTCACCAGTTAAAGTCGAAATGAAGCAAACTTTGTCACCATCGATAATGCAACACAAGTGTTTGAAGGACTCTACTAGATTTGATATGCGAACATCTTGAGCATCTTAAAATGAAAATTGCAAATGCCAAGAATCTTGAAATTGAGTTTTTGTAATTCGTTTTTATATAGTGCATGCAGGAAATTGCAAGCTTGATCATAGCAATAGGTTTTCAGCCTATCAGCGTTTAATTTTAACTGTAATCTTTGCAAGGAATACGTTAGCAACATCGGTTATATTTGACTTACATTATATTTAGCATTGGTAATCCAAATTAGTTGGTTTTAATTAGCTTGAGTATGCATAAATAGAAAATTGTACCAACCTTAAATAGATAAAAAAAAAACAGGCACTTTATCGTTTTACTTCTTTGGATGTTGAATGTTTTTTATTAAACCAGGGACCTGTAGAATCCTTTTTTTGAAACAGCAGCTTAAAACATATATTATACCACAACAAAAAAACCTTAAGGTGTATCTGACAGTCCAAGTTAACTTTTGACTACTTCTGACTGTTCTACCGAACTGTAATATAGTGATCAATGCTGTGTATTGCGCCCATTACACTCAGAGCATTACACTCAATTGTGTGATAACAGGACAGTTGCAGCATGCAATTTTGAGTATTACGCTGAATGCGATCATCAGGCATCTTCTGTACCAGACTACTTCTAATGGTAAAAAACAACCGGCAGTGTTACATTCGGCATAAATTACATTGTCTCGTGCATATGAATTTCTTACGAATTTTTATTGGCGCATTCGAGTTTTGACCATAACCTTTCTCCAACTGCATCGATTTTCAAGATCGACCACAGTGTACATGAAAGGACAATCATTTTTTGTACAAGGGATAGCTTCCTTGTAGGATTACAGACTCTCTCAGCTAGATGCTAAAGCACTCTTCAGTTCATCTCAGTTCTTTCAACATTGTCTTTTTTATTGAAATTCGTCGCATTTTTGTTCAGGAAACAATTAGCAAAGCTCCTATGTGACTTCATTTCACTGCCTTAGATGTTGTAGAGATATCAGCAGGCTTCGTCTGCATAAGGACATTGCTTTTTATTTTAATTACCGAAGCACAATACGCATGAAAAGAATAGAAATGACTTCTATTCTGTGGAATTGTCGGAAGAATATGCAACGTTTAAACAGAGCAAATTGGAAGGAGCTCACTATTGGACGCTTGGCGGAGAACGAGCGTAACAAAATTCCTAGAAAAGTCAATGCTAAGATTTATTAATCGCCCAAACAAACAAAATCTTTAAAATGGATTATCTATTTAATCCTCTTCTCTAATTTGGCTGAGCACAATCAGAAATAATGGATTTTCTATTCCGGTGCTCTTATATGTTAAGACCCATGATATTCTACCAAAAACCAACTTACAAGCAAATATAGCCAGGAAAGCTAATTAGCGTATGTTATTCTTTTTCAATGCCTTCAAAAATAACTGCTTTCTCAAGGATTAAGGAAAGCTAACACAGACCCAGCACAATGCGATGCGATTCACAGAAGGTTTCTCAGATCCTCCCTTTGACTTGCAAGTTATACTAAAACTACCAACGCTCGTTGCCTCGAAGCCATACTTGTGACAGTACATGTCAACATAAATAGAGGTCTAGTAACTGTAAACATTATCTTTCTAAGTGAAGAAAAGGTTTTCTACAGCGATCAAGAATTTTGGAGAGAACGAAGCATATAGAGAGGACTACCCCTGGGTAGCAGACTCACTTTACATAAAATAATTTATATAGTGAGTCTGGTACCCAGGGTAAGAGAGAACATGCTTGCTTCCATTTATTTTTTACAATATGTAAGAAATTTTCGTCACAAAACTGTCATTCACGATTACAAAGGAACCTTGAAGTACATCACTTGTGTTTTTAACTATTATAACTTATGTAACACCTGAAATACACCTCTGAACCCAAGAAAATACCAAATTCACAAGCTGGTGCGCGTGAAATGCAAGTAATCCATTGCATATGATACGGAGCAGGCAAAAACTGATTTCTATTAAGCATGGTTTCTGAACTGCGTTTTTTACTTGTTATGAAGCATGCCAAACAGAGTTTAGATTCCTTGAAGGATTAAGATTAACCAAACAACGAAGGCATAAAACGTCGCCTGTCCAGACCATAATTCCTGCTTGGTAAAGACAAATCAATGCAACGAATAAACGATAGACAAAAATATGAAGTTTCTTGAAAAGTAAAGCTGGAATGAGTGTACAGGAGATACTTATTGCACAGGCAGCTTTGTTCTAATACCTTTTAGCAGCGAACTAAGGGCATTTGGAGTATGTCGAAGAAAATGGAAACTATTAAACGTACTTATTTCTAATAACCTTAACAAGATTTTATATAAACATTCCTTTCACTTTTTGATTGGAAAATCTCCTTAACTTCGATGCTTAGGGTTCTTTGAGGTAAAAGCTGTCAAGGATCAAGGAGTTTCGTTTCAACCTCGCCACTCACGCCCCTCCCCTCCCCCGAAGGTTTCCCAAGCTCATAAATAGCGCTTAAGACATATATTGCGATTGCAATCCTCAGCAGGGAGATAAAAGAATGCCTCCCCGGTGTGATATTTGCAAGCAACAGAGCAAAAAGAACTTTCTTGGTTAAGATGAGTTCAATACTAGAGTTTTGGGTAAAAATGAACATGAATGTCTCTCAGCTTCCACTTTAGCATGAATTCCTCAAGTCATTCGAGAACGTCACGCCTTTGCCCATAATTATTGAGTGTTGTTAGGTTATAGGTCTGTAGGACACAATGATATAGCCACGGTTATAATATCGTGGGACAATTGCTTTCCTAGAAAAATGTTTCCCTATTAACTGATTTTAAGAAAAGCATCCCACACAAGGATACATTTTCAAAGAGCCTTGTCCCAGGGACCTTATCTCTACCCTACTCAATCAATACATCACGGCTAAACCAGGTAGGTGAATCGTTTGCAAGCGATTTCAGACAGTCCCTAGCCTATCCAGAAACATGTCTACTTAAAAACGGGGCTGGAAAAGTCTTTTCTTCGATACTTTATAAAACATCTGCATACGAAGATTTCCAGGTGCTTGCTTCTTCTTGAATTTTCAAATTGCAAACTGACTAAGCAATAAACAAAACGGTTTTCTTTAGAAATCACAAATCAACACTACCAAAACTCTTGCATGGAGGATTTGTGAGCGAGTTGAAATTGATTCGCCTTTTGTTTCAGGATCAATATGTTGAATGTCTTCATCAGATGATTTGCATTGGCGATTTCGCACAACACAGTGGAATTTTAGTCGGCAATAAAGTTTACTAATAAATTATGCAGTAGACCGAATACTGATTAATCTGCATACAGTGAATATCATAAGAAAATATATTCTTCTGTCTTACCTTGAAACGATTTGCTACCAACAAAAAGCAATCAATGTCTTCAGATCGAAATCAGGGGGTTTAAATTCGATGCAACTCATTCCTAGGGGAAAGAAGAGATCGATAGGGTAGCAACTGGTTGAACATCTTCGCATTGCTTGACGTCAAAAACAAAGGTGAGCATTTTTTTCAGATATTCAAAAGTGATTTCAATTGCGGCAGAATCTTATTCTAAATCACTCCGTGCAGTGATGGTTCTTATTCATGGGTGTAAGCTTTTGTAACTTAAATGAAATGTTTAATAACCTGCTTGAAAAGACAAGAACAAGCTATCCAATGAGAAACTCGACTTCAAGACGAAACATTTTTGTCTTGAGAATCATCCTCAGTGTCTTCAGAAACAGCTAAAGAATAGTCAACAGCATTGAACGACAAAGAATGTACACTCTTTTTTATAAGAATATTGTTTAGAAGGATATTCAGGCTCAGAATCGTCCAATTTTTAAGAATATTATAAGAATATTGCTCAGCTTCAGCTCGCATTTTAGTGTCTCATTTTTAAGTAGTTGCCTGTAAAAAGTAAGTAAGAATACCCTTAGAATATATTCAAGCTCAAAACGAAACTTAGAATGTTGAGGCTGGAAAACGTTTAGAATATTCTTATTAAAAGAGTGTAACGTAGAATGATTTGTAAGATGAAATATAAAAAGTTAATCAAATTGAGTAGTCTTTTAAAATGGCTTACATTGAAGTAAGGAATTTTAAAATACGGCGAATGACTTTTTGTATCCTTGGTGCAAGAGCCACAAAAATTCGAGCACGGAAATGGAAAGCCAAACGGGGATTCTCCTCCGCTTTTCTGGTTAGTTTTCAATTTCCTTGCTCGAAATTTTGTGGCTCTGACACCCAGGGTAGACCTTTTGCAGCACGTCTTTCACTGGCATATTATCAACAGTTAAATGCTGTTAAAGTGTCTCTGTGTTTCGAAAGTGACTTTCGTGCAGTCTATTTCAATTGTTTAATTTGGCACTTATCGTGGTAGTAAATTTTACCGAAGATTAGTGGAAAATTTATAAACATTTTGTCGACATCCAAAGCAGGTTTGCTAAAAAGAGTTACAAGAATTAATAAAAACTGCCTTTGGTGTTGAAGAGCAGATGCCTACAGCACTGGAATTATTAATTTGTTACATAGCCTCGAGCGAAAATTGTGGCACTGCTGCAAATTTTTCATAAGCATCTGGAACTAGATAAGCTACAGCATGTGCAATAAGATTATAAGATTATTCGAGTACCTATCAAAATTAGAAATTACAGGTTGTAAGAGTTTGGGCAAAAACCTGGTTTTCATCTTTTCAAAAAATTGAAACTTTCTAAAAGTTGCACAGGAAATGACTGCATAGCAGAATGTATTTTGGGTTTTTTGTAAATATTGTACCAGGGAAATATTGATTGAGTTTTTATTATTGTGTCAGGTGGTTTTTAAGACAAAATGTATGTTCATAATTGGCAACATGATGTAAATTTTGCAATACAATTGAAACTCGAGAAGAGATGATGCAAAAAATGTTTTTCTCTATTTCGACTTTCATTATACATGTTGTGAATGTATAATTACTTACAATGTCTAGTTCATTAAGTATTATAACTAGGTTAAGCTTTTTAAGTATTAGTTATTAATCGCTATTTTAGTTTAGGGTTGAACTATAAATCGATAACTCAGCAGAATTGAAGACTTAGGTAAAACACTTGGTGCGAGGAAATGAAAAAAGAAGAGAAATCGTTGATTTTCTTCAAAACCCGCTATGGTATTCTGGCTAAGTGCAGTATCCCTTCTCTATGCAGTATTGGCCCATGAGATGTGATTCTTCAATTTAGGTCCGCTACTGCTGAGATAAAAAATGTGAACTATGGGTTTTAGGCTTAATTGTAAAAACTACTTCGTGTAGCAGAACATCAAATAAGATAGTGTAGCTGCTTATATTTGTAACTGAAGTTGCCAATCGTTTGGTGTTGTATTGGGAAGAAGAATGCTGACAAAAGCTTACACGATATTCCATCTACTCAAAGAAGAAAACACCTAAAAACATCTTACATAAGTTCAAGTGTCTAAAAGGCATATCCTGATACTTTCTTCTTGAAAATGTGTTACCTTCAACGAAAGGTTAGATCTGCATATTTGCAAAAGTGGCAACAAAGTGCAAAACGGCGCAATATTTCTTCAATTTTGCAAAGCTTTGTCAGGATAATTAAGTCCTTTGGTGATCTCAGTGTATATTGCTGAAAAACAATAAAAATAAAAATTAAAGGCTTAAAAATATTATCTGAACGTGGAGGGAATAACTAAGATCGAATCAAACCTGTGACTTTGAGGTTTGAACACCTTCAAATGCAAGCAGAAAAGAAGCAAGGTGTATTATTGAGGTAATACTAAACAGATTGTGTAAAAGAATCTGAAATTTCGTTTCATTATCTTTCAAAATTTTGAATATAGGAAATAAAGTTATGAACAAATATAGAAGAGATGTAAATTTAGGTTTCCAATTCAAGTAAACTTTTTACAGTTTATGGGATGGCAGAAGTAGTTTCCACGTTTCGCAACTTTGTAAGAATGTGGCTCAAATGATGGTTAATGTGTATGTCGACGACAATATGCAACTTTGCGGGAAAATACACACGACAATTTGTGTGTGATATATTTCAGTGTGATTTCCGAAGTCAAATTGCGCTCGTTCGAGTGGAAAACATACCGCAACGCAGAACCCCCCGAAAAAGATTCACTAAAGCAGCTGGGATCTCGCTAAATTAAAGCTTTAGGGAGATCCGCAACCTAATATTTGCAAATGCATTTTCGAGAGAAAAACAAATTCATCAGGAAAATTAAAGGAACGGATCATATTATTTGACAAAATTAATTATCATTACGAGTAGCTACGACTTATTATGTTATAGTGTTATTTGAAATGAGATTTTTGAGTTCTTTTGCAATACATTGAGAGACTGCAGATATTTTGAAGCATAAAGGTGCGAGAAAACGAATCAAATCCAATCAGATCAGATGTCTCAATATCACGTTTTATAAACGCAGTATTGTCATTTCCCGATGCTTATTCTTGATAAGTCTCAAGTAAACCAAATTTGTATGTCAAGTTCTCAGGTGTGTAGAACAAGACGTTACTAAGTTGCAATCATAATACTTAATCTTGTTCATCACACCAAAGCGTTTACAGTTCTATAAATACAGTATCGAGCACTATATAACAGGCTCATAAGCTGTAACAGAGCTAGGAGGTGGTGAATTTAACCAAGATCATCGAGACATCTAGACAAGTATTACTGGCCATGGTAGTGTAGCTATAAAAATCGCTGAGATTAGAGTGCAAAGAAAATTCACGCCTGACCCACTTATAGCACAGTCTCGTATGCCTAAAAGTGAATTTTTTCTTTTGATTACCTCCAAGGGTGCCGTCCCAAAAAATTAAGAAGGGGGCTGTGCTTTAGAAGCCACACCCAGGACCATACCAATGGTTACATGCTGTATTCTTGCCTTTGTGCATGTGAAATCATTCAATATATTCATTGATTCAAAAAGACTGTTAGAAAATTGCTCATTCATGGAAAATTACCGGCATAATAAAGGTTTAATTTAGATTGCCAAGAAAGAAATTTGCCCAGCCACACATGTACTGGCTTGTTAAGGGGGGCTGAGTCCCCCCCCCCAAATCTCTCTTAATTTTAACAAGGAGGGCTGAGTTCCCCCAGCCCCCATCTACGGCACCACTGATTTCCTCTTTGTTCTGCTTGCTTGCTTCCATTGCAACCATGAACATGAAGGTTGGGACAATTCTGTCACATTTTTGAAGTTCGATTTGGACAAAATCTACGTGTAATTGTCAAAATGGCAATTTTTCGTGGCTTTAATGAGATGTCATTCCTGCTTTTGATTTCTTGGTATCACGTCTGAAGTAAGAACAATTGCGGTATTTTGAAACCACGAAATGATTGACTGTGAGTCTATTTTTAACTTAGAAAGCAGAAATTTCTTGACCTATACACGAAAAAAGATTGTTCACTTTGTACTGTTAATTCCAGTGAGATAGATAAACTCTTACCCAAAAAATTGCGCGCTGGAAAGGATACTTAACTCATTATTTAGCAATTATACTCTAAGGTGTTTTTGATTAGGCGTCCTAAGTTTTCCGTCCTACCTACTTACACGAAAGCAGACATCAACTATCAATTGAGAAACTATTTGTGTTACTAGGCTTAGTTTTTCTAAACAAAAACTAAAATGCTAAAAAAATTTCATCTCTTTAAATGGTTAAAGAAAAGTACACTTTTTTACAAAAACTCGCCAAAATACAATTTTTGAGGTCAAGGACTCGTCAAAGCTGCAAGCTTGGATTACTATTTTTGTTAAGAAAACAAAAATGTAAAATGTATCAGAGTATGAATCACATGCAGGTGTTACTTGCATCGGACATACATAATTCTGCAGCAACTGTTTTAACTCAAGTAAATATTGCCCTCCAGCATATATAAAGAACTTCTTAAGGCAAAAAAGAGCTTCTTCATTTAATTTAATGAGCCACACTAGACTAAGAAAAAGGGTTAGAAGGTAAATAAGATTATCAATGATGACTGGAATTGACCTGAGATGCTTTAAGGTCAAACAAAGGGTCAAAAGTTCATCAAGGTTTCTCTTGCGTACAAAATGCTAACTGCCAAGTAGACTCCCTATCCCCTTCTGCAATGAATGTGCATATAAACAAGCAAAGGAAATGAATTTCTGCATACGCAGGTGTGCTGTTGTCCCCGCATTACATGTATGCAATTTTGAGTAACGAAGAATAGGGAAAAACGAAAATACAAAGGATTTACCAGACTTCATAAAAATTCAAAGAATAATTTTCCAGGAATTCCATTTTCTTTAGGTGCCTGAAACAAGATAGCAACATGCCTGAGAACCACAACGAAAGCGTGCCTTTAAAAGAAAATGGGATAGCAGCAGAAGAGGCTATGGTGACAGCAATTGTGAAACCGAGGCACAAGTGGACAAAATATCAGAAGCTGCACCTCGCTATCACGCTTGTTCTTCTGGCTGTTTGCATTGCTCTTATCGGAATTTATGTCATAGAACTCAGTTCACGAAAAGATAACGAATGCAAACGCGGAAAGAAAGCAACGGTAAAAGCGAAGCGAGTTTGCGAAAGCCCAGAATGCGTTTCAATAGCAGCCCAGGTGTTGACGTATGCCAACCATAATGCAGATCCGTGCAAGAATTTCTATGATTACGCTTGTGGTGGCTGGACCAATCGACGGTATATTCCAGACAGCAAGCCATTTTGGGACACGTTTTCCGATCTTAGTGAATCTAATGATGAATTGCTGAAAAATTTGCTTACAAACAAAAAGCCAAATGCAACTAGCCCAGCAGAAGGTCAGTTGTACAATCTGTATGCTTCCTGTATGAACACATCCGCTATTGACGCGCTGGCATTGAAGCCGTTGAGAAATCTTTTAGAGAAGACGGGTTTGTTGGGTGCCTTGACTGGAACATGGGATGAAGCATCATGGGATATGATAGAAACCCTTGTCAAAGTACATTCCGTTTTTTCGCCGCTTGTTTACATGGAGACCGAAATTCCGCTCTTTGACATACGAGTTGCAGTTGATATTCTCGATTCTAACCGACAGATCATCAAAGTAAGTTATTTTAGACACAAAGATTAATATCAAATTTAAGAATCAAAGAAATGTAAACTGTGGTACCGTTAGAATTGAGTAATTTACAAAAGTAGATCATTGCAGTCAATCAGAGACAATCACTATATCACATGATCAGTTTTCAGATTTTTGAATTTGTATTTGTTTCTACCTATGATTATCAAGCAGTGTTCTAATCTTTTTTCTGTGATAACACCTCGTGATTCCTACTTTAGAACTGCAAAGAGCTGGCAACTCCCCTCAGTCTGGGTGAGACAACACGAGATCGGGAGAACACAAAGCAACACAATCTTAGGCAAAATTTTAGAGCAAAGACAACTTTTCTGTCATTTAGGAATTGAATGGCTGAAACAAATCTAAAAATCTTTCTTGTATTGTCGAAGTTGAATGTTTAATACTATTATAAACTAGCCTTTCCTATGAAAATTAGTTGAATATATTTAACAACAATTAAGTAAACGTCGGAGCTTCTCCTCGCGATGTCTTGCCCAATTTCAAGTGGGTTTAGCAAATTCAAATGTGCTCTGTGATGTTTCTTGATATATGGTTCAAATCTAAAAATTTCAAAATCGATTTATATAAAAGCGTTTCATTTCTAGATCAGCCAACCACGAGGTACAATTCTTAGTTATTCTGGAGGTAATAACCAAGTAAGTAATAAAGAACTATTGAACTGTATTTGTTTTTATTATGACATACACTCATTCTTCGATGTGCAGAAATGGGCTTAGTGTTTGTTGTGACTTGCAATCATTGTTCGAAAGAAATTGATTTTTTACTGCTATGCCACGCCCGTTGTTCAAAGAAAGGGGCTTTGTGCTTGTTGATGTTCGCTATATCGTACTCACAAGGGAAACTGAATCTTTATCGGCTGTTTGCAAGAACGAGTTAGCAGTAAAGTTACGTTATGATCGGAAAGCACTGCAAAGATGGAAATAAGAAAAGATGATTAGCCACTCGCCAAACGTCGTCGATTCCTGTAAATTCTTTTCACGGCACTCAAGTACTAAACATCCCACCCTTGCCACCAATGCCAATATCCGGATATTTCCAGATTTAATATTAGTTACAAAGCACAAAATGAAATACAACATTACTTGTGCCAAGCTTATCGAAAACGCATTTATACAAAAGCATTACACAAGAGTCAATTCTAGAATATCGCTGGTGCAGCATACTTCTATTCTTTAAGAACTGTCAGTACTGAAAATGTACGTCCTCCTTGGCATTTCAAAAATCATCTGCTGTTGGCCTAATTATAAGATCATCATACATCTTATCAACAATGAATTCAGCATTGCATTCTTTCCTTGTTTGCAAAGATACTTTTGGTATTATTTCCGTTACAAAATTTCAGAAATCATCGGCACTTTTTCTGAGTTCTCAAATTTGTTGACGCTTTCCTGGCAGCTTTGCCTTTTCTTTTATGATATTTTAGAAACAGCAGTAAACATTATTTACACGTTATCTTCGCGTGATCAACATTATTTGATACTTATAAGCACAGTTTGGCATATCTTTTTATCCAGCTCAGCAGAAATTTCGAAAAGTTTGGGATAACGGACAATTCTTACTCGAAGATAAATTGATAGGGGTTCGAGAAAGACAATGTTCGAGATAACGGACAGTGAGATAGCGAATGAAATTTCTATATCAATCCTTACATCAAAGCGAAGGGAAATGGAAAGACGTTCGATATAGCATATATTCGCATCTATAACTTTCTTTTTTTAACTTTATTTGCAGGCATTTGGTGGGGTTTTCGCTGATGCAATTGTAAATGTCGTAAAACAGCTAGGTGGAAAAGACATTGATAATGTGAAAGCTGACGTTACCAAATTGGACAATGAGATAGAAAGGGTAAAGTATTGAAATTAAATATACTCTAGGTAATAGTGGTGATAAACTTTTTTCATTTTAAAGAGAAGTGAAGACGGAACAAAATTATACAACTAGTTCCTTTACTTTGCAAAACTACCCCAGAACTCGAGATTCTAACGATTCCTTGTAACAACAGCCTCTGACAAACTCGTATACAACGGCATTATAGGAAGTTTTTGTCACTCTTAAATTCACCACTAAGCTAACTTGTCCCTTTTTGTACCTGTTTTTCTCCTTATTAGAATTGTACCATCTTACTTGAAATATGAAAATCCTTTATTACTTATTATTCCGAAGGCCTTAATCCCAAATGACCAGTACCGAAAAGTGCAGGAGAGTCGCATCAAAATCACCATTAAGCAGCTGAATGAAGACACTAACAAGACGGTAAGATTAGTAGCAGATTCTGTTATTTTCATGGATTCAGTTATTGGAAAACAAAATTGAGTACGGTATTCCACAGGGCTCGTGTCTGTGGCCCTTGCATGTCAAACTATATAGCACTGGAAACTGTCTGTAAAGCATGGTCGCAAATATATATGCTGATGATATAAGTGTAACTATTGCATTAGAAAATTTGGATAAGCTTCTAAAACCCGCTGAAAAATATAGCAGATTTAATTAGAATTAATAAACTTGGTTATAAAGCCAGTAAAAGTTAGTACATGGCCATATATAGACCATAGGCAACAGCTCATAAGAGTAAGTAATGATTTTCCTGATCTTGTCGACAAAAGTGAAGTTGACTGACAAGACAAAATATGTAGGAATCAACATCGACGAAAGCCTTCCTTGGAAAAATCAGTAAAAAACCATCAAAGTTAAATTGAAAGGGAGCTTAAGCTCTTTGAGGAAATGAAAAATGTCCTTTCGCAAAGAAAACTTGACCAGTTCTATAGAGCGCTCTATAAAGTTTTTACGTCTCTAGTGTCAAAAATTGGAACGATAAACCAGACAACATCCGAGAGAAAGAATTAATTGCTCGTTTTAAAACCGGGTATAGAGAGTATCTTTCGAATCTTTAAACGTACAAGACCCAAACACAAACCTTTGGCAGAGCGGCGATCTATCGTATTTTTCACCTGTTATTCCTAGCTGAAATGTGTTTATGCATAAATATTGATAAAATGAAATGAAACTATTCTAGCTGATGTCTTTGGCCAGCCTATTATGCCACTTACATGTACACAATTTTAAGATGCGTTTCCTACAAAATTGATTGCTGATAATAAATTTTTTAATAAAAGAAAACAGAGATTGAAGAAAACAACAAACTAATAAAATGGTACAACTAGCTAAAAATGTCTATAAAAACTCCACATAAGGCTGTAGTTTTATAAAAAAAATTTAAAAGCTTGAATTTGAACTTATCTGGAACCATTGAACGCATTACCTTAATCTTAAGTCACCACCTATGAGACTCTTGACTGTTTCAAACCTTCTTGACTTGCAATTTTGACAATTCTTTTAAGTTTGATTGGCTGAGGTATCTGAAACTGGCATTCAACAATTCAGGAGTCCCGATCACAGAAGACACATCAGTCGCAATACAACCTCTGTTATACTTGAAAAGGATTACCGCAGTTCTGAGTAAAGCATCTAAAAAGTAGGTATAGTGATTTTTATTTGTTCACTAATACCATTTATCAGTTTTCATTCAAAGAGGATTTACTAAAATGATTTTTTCTCAAGGACATACCGTAAATCCTCGAATTTGACCCCTCAATTTGATGATTTTTGCCATCTGAGGTTGCCTATGGCGTTTTATTGAATTACCACAACCAATTCATACTTTTGGTAGTAATTAATTAAGTGCTCATAAAGAAATTTCTACTAAAATAGACGCAGTCTTTTAATAATTTCTTCTTAATGTCTACAATAATTTTATAAGCCCCCCCTCCCTCGAATAAGCCCCCATCCAAAAATATCAAAAATAAATAAGCCCCGAGGGGGCTAATTCGAGGATTTACGGTAAGTGAACCTACTGGCAAAAAAATGAAAAAATGCAATCTAAATATAAGCCCAATTTGAATGGCTGGAAATGTTACCTACCAATCTCACACGAATAATTCTAATTATATGCATTTTGTTTACTATATCGTTAAGCAGAAAATCAGGTTACAGCGTATATAAAGAATCAAGATTACATATTATGGATTAAAAGGAAACAATTGATACGCCGGAGATTTGGATTGCCTACCAAAATTCTTAGCATACTGTATGTTTCTTCTAAATTGCATATACCCCTTCCCCTCCCCTTCGACAAGCTAAAAATGCATCATGTTTTGGTCCAAGTATCGGGACATTGAATAATTCAAAAAACATCATTGCCTAGCTGACAAAATACAGGTTACAGCGCCAGCAACTAGGCTGTGGGAGGGCAAAACGAAAAGTTTTTAGGCCACGTTCTTTTAACTGTTAGAAAATGCCCTTTTACCAACAGGGAACGCAAATTTTACCAATAGGGAACCCCATCATCAAATCAAATTAGAGAATTATATCACAAAGAAAACGTTGCCAAAAAATCACCCCTCAAAAAGTGTTCTCATCAAATTCAAACGAAATACTAAATCGACCCTGTCTCAAACCAGGGAAAGTGTTCCAGGACTTGCAAATGGTAACTTATTTTCAGCCTAGGTTCTTAAAAAGTTGCCGTCTTTTCACAGGACGGTAGCAAATTACTTTATTTGGAGCCTGATAGCAGAAATGAAAGACTATTTGCCAACAGCAACCACAAAAGCGTTCTTTGCGGCTGAGAAACTCAGAACTGGCACGGAGATTCAAGACCCCCGATGGCAACGATGTTTGCGAAAAGGCGAAGCAACTATGGGGATGGCACTTGGTGCTTTACTTGTCAAAGATAAGATAAGCGATGCAGATAAACATGAGGTTAGTCTATAGATCATTTTTCATTCCAACAAAGCATGACACTGTTATGATTTTCATCAGTTCGTCATCGTTGGGCAGAAGCATCAGTTTACGAACTAGAAGAATAGGGGTGGAAAGGAAAGTGCTACGGTTGAAAGATATTTTCACTTTCCGTACCATACAATACAACATAATAAGATAGTGTATCATATGGTATCATCCAGTGTTTCTTGAACAGTGCAGAACCATACCATACAAAATGCCAAGTATCTCACAGAAGTATTTCTAATTCTATAGAGATAGTGTATTATTCAACAGTACGCTATCAACAGTTCAACAGTATGTACAATACATTACGATACCGAACAGTACCATTATTTATCAAATCATAACGTCACCGTCAAGTAAATACAATACCAATGCCAAACCATAGTAACATAACAATACAGTGCAATACCATGTATATTTTTATACCATCCAGTGTAATACGAAGGAGTTGCAAACAATCTAGTGTGATACTGTGTAGTGATATAGCATATAATTTAAAAACTATGCTATGTAATAACTATACTAAGTGTACTGCCATGAGGTGTCATGTTATACAGTACAAAACTAAAAATACTAAACAGTATTCAATACCAAATGGTTTCTTGCGATGCGCGATGATAGGCTATGGTACACTATGATAGGCTATGATACTCTATTGATATTCAATAATACTCTACGATACTCTACGATATGATATGATACGATACGATACGATACGATACGATACGATACGATACGATACGATACGATACGATACGATACGATACAATACGATACGATACAATACGATACGATACGATACGATACGATACTATCAGTATCATACCCCACAATATTAGAATCATGCTTTATGATACAGGAACAAAATCATCTTACACGGCAAGAAAAAGAACAAAAATTTACAAGAAAAAACGAAAGGTCAAACAGAAAATTGTGACATCTGAATGCTGAAACCTTTTACAACTATTCCGATATTTTGCAGGTGGAGAAAATGATTGAAGATATAAAGAATGCTTTTCTGACAATTATTCAAACCACTGATTGGATGGATGAAGAAACGAGGAACAACGCAATGAGAAAGGTATAAAAAAGGGCTTTTCTACATAAAACCCATGTCTATAGGGGACTACCTATTCGCTTATACCTAAACGCTGTCACAAACTGCCCAGTTCTGTAACAATCCTGTTATCATCCATTAAAAAGGTGCCATTAAAGTCAGAATTACATAGTTACAACTTGTAAGAAAGACTTGGCTTCCTTACTAGTAAAGGATGATTTAACTCCAAAAAATGAGATGATATTATGGAGAGCGAAGGTGGCACTTTTGAGTTTCATTGCTTGATCTTTTTCAGATTAAAACATTGAAATCGAGGCGGGGTTTGGGTGTGTCGATTTTTTTCCTGTTGTTTTTTTTTCTCGCGGTCGTTGACCGTCGGACTTTCATGTTTAATGAGCTCTGGCTATTTACGAAAAGTCCATGACACAATAAAATGTGACAGACTGGGAATAGATTGTTATATGTTAAAACTGTAAGGGACACTCTCGTCGGTGTTACGAACAGCTGAAAACGCGCGATATCGCAACGAAGGCCCGCTGGTCTCCTAGGTGACAACCTAGAAAATCTATATGAACAGAATTGCTTGACCGATTATTTCAGCAAAAAGTAGACTGGTAATTTTCTATATTTGTTTGACGTTTCTAACCAATAGGGTTTTGTACAAGTTGTTTATGTAGCCTTTTTGTAGCTATATTGTTGAGCTTGAATAAAACCTCTCTTCAATTCTATTCTCCTGGCAATCAGTACTTCTACTACCCTTTCGTATTACAGGCTAGAGCTGTGATTGGAAACGTAGCCTATCCATCATTTATCAAGGACCCAATGAAGCTTGCCAACTACTATCGTGGGGTACGTACATCACTAAGAATGTGTATCTAAAGTCAACAAGTCTATATGAAAAGAGGAGCAGTACTGGCTACTGGGGATAATCGTATGAGACTCTGGTACCCAATGTAGGGATATCCGACCTGCATGTGATTTTCATGTGATCAATTTGCCTGTTGGTTATCTTACTAAAACAAAGACACGCTTGATGAGACCAGTTATACGAGTGCATTCAAGCGTGAACGTGTCTCCTTTTTCATGCGGATTCGTTGCCTCTGATATTAATAGGTTTAGGCTGTAAAGATGAAAAAACTCAATATACCTTGGCTTTGTTTCCTTGTTGTTATTTCATATCTGAAAAATAAGAGATAATCAAATAAATAACTGAGAAATTTCATGCAAAGGGCCATCGAGCCTTTGCAAACAGTATTTAGAATCAAAAACACAAAATGCTTCGCATAAGGATAGAATTTATTGAAACGAGAAACAAACTACAACAGAATGCTGGTGGATTTAGCTCCGACAAGATACTCTTAGTCCGAACAAGATGTATAAGTTCGGATGAAATGCGTTAAGGCCGGACATGTGCTAAGTCTGGACCGAATGCTTCAATTCTGGACAAGATGCGTTAGGTCCGGACAAGATGCACTTAGACCGGACATTATCTAAAATTCGCTACATGCATAATTTCATTTCGTCCTTAAAATTTCAACAACTAGATCGTTTAAGAATTATAATTGATGAGAATAATAAATAATTTTCTGGCTTACTAGATTACTCTGAAAGATAATCAGTACTTCGATAACATGGTACAGCTTTTGATGATGGAAAAGAAGAGGGGCATTATGAAATTGAATTCCAAAATGGACAGGCAGGAGTAAGTCTTGAACAAAATCTATTTGTAGATAAAGATTTTGTATAAAAATGATCATTTCATACTGTTAGTGAGACCGCTATGAATAGGCTAAAAGCAATCTGAGTAACACATTCAGGCATTGATTATTCAAATAAATAAATTGTTCTGTTTACTTCTTTAAGTGAGTTCTTGAAGTGACATGTCATAAAGATTCAAGCACTTTTGAAAGCACAGACATGTTATTATCCTTCTATTCTATCAAAATTATAAAAACCAAAAGCTCACCAAATGCATGATTTGTGAGTATTTTTATGCAGCAGATTTTTGGAGGGTTAACGTACAGGCTACTGGTATCAACAAAGTCTATAATTTCGAAAAATAATCTATGACGCTTCATAAAAGAGTGGCTGTACTTTGATTAATACGTGCTATCTTTGTAATATGACTCATTTTAGCATCAGATGTTGAAATAAACTTCCTATTTAGGTGGGAACTACCTCCATCTTTGGTGAATGCTTTCTACGATTCTGGCAGAAATAGAATGGTCTTCATGGCGGGAATTCTGCAGTCACCATTTTTTAACAGGAATGCACCTAAGTAAGTTGATCCAACACCTGAATAACATGCTCAACGCCAATTCTTAATAGTTAATTGTTAGAGAGGTGTTATTGTTCCTCAGTCGAAGCATCACATGCTCCTTAAACTACCAACAGGGGCTACAAAAACCAAATGCTTAATCACTTTATAAGGGATGACTTCGAAGGATTTTAGGAATATATGTATATACTGGGTGATTAATGGACTGCTCAGATATCATAACCAACTGCATTTATGCCAATCTTAAACTAAGGTATATGCAAATGCAGGAATGCAGACCTCGATGTTTTGGATATCATTTTCTGTTAGGAAAGGGCAGATGCTACTGTTATATGCGATCGTAGCCAGAATTACATCATTTCTTCCCAAGTTTGTACAGTCTCTTTTACAGAATGTTTCCCTTCAAGTTAACGAAAAATTAAAACATACAGTGTATTAGAGCCAACCAATACTCCACGTTATGTGTCCAGTTGGTCAACGATCAACGAAACTTGTGAATTGATCAACGTATAGCTATAGTCATAACCAAACAAACTATTTAAGCAAAAGGAATATTTGACATGCATTATGACATGTAAGGTTGGCAGGAATAATTGTAAGACATCACATCGAATCATGCGCTTTAAGATCCCTACTCTATCCTTTCATTTTATTATTTTCCTTTGCAGGTCAATAAACTATGGTGGCATTGGAGTGGTAATGGGCCATGAATTGTCACACGGATTTGACGATCAAGGTAAATAAACGGTCAATATTCCATATTTATGTGGAAAACATGCAATTCATAGCCCCAAAACTCCCCTTACATTGAGACCCAACAAAAATTCTAACGGGTTGCCCTTCTGTGCATACTTCAAGGAAGACCGTGTAAAAGAGTAAAAACAATAGGGTTAATTATAAAACACAAGCGGCAAATAGCTAGGGGACATTTACTTTTTATGGCGATCAAACCTAAAACACGGCTTAGCAAATGAAAGCAACTCAAATAAGAGGCAATGTTATGAACCAACTTTTTTTTATAATATCAAAGACGAAAGTCAGAAACATTAGCAAATCTAAATGATCAACGTTGACCAGATCCACAAAAGCGTACGCAGAAATACAGGCTCATCCTACCACTATCCCACCCCTGACACCAAATAAAACTCACACAAATGACGCAAATTATAGAAGCTGAAGCTAATCAACAACAATAAGTTCGCCGCAGTACATGATGATAGACAATCAAATTGCTTCGAATAGTTCCCATTAACAAAACAGGAGTTTCAGCCTCCTTGAAGGACTTTTGGTGTTCTCCCACCTTGGAAAGTCACTCAAGGTTAGTCCTGGTAAAGTCCTGTATACTAAGGCGAGATACAAATAAACTGAATTTCTCGAACTAAAAAAACTTGACCTCTTATCATCAGAGAAACACGAACATTTTCAAAATACGCTAAGGATTTCTAACCTGACAAACCCTCTTACACTGCAGGACGACTTTTCGATGAAAGAGGTAATTTGAAGTCGTGGTGGTCTGCACAAAGTGCCAAGTCATTCAAGGAAAGAGAGAAGTGTATCAAGAAACAATATGCAGATTATTCGCTTTTTGGTATCAATGTGAGTATCAATATGACATCAAGAAAAACATGGCACCAGTCCGGATTGTTCATGTCCGCCTCCTTTATCGTTAAAGGGCCTACTTCAAGTCTTGAATGTTTTATACTCTTGATAAAAACAGACTTATTCTTAAGATAAACAAATAGTTTTTTCTGATATGCAGTTATCTCTCACTCTATTGATCAGACTTAGTAATTGGATTGAAGAACTTTGACAGCCATTCTATTATCAAGCTAAATTGACAACGACATGTCTTACTTGTTGCAGATAAACACAAATCTAACTCTGGGTGAGAACATTGCAGACAACAGTGCAATCAAAACGGCATTTAAGGTACGAGCTCTTGAGGCAGCGTTCCTCAGAAATCTGTTTATTGAAATTTTCTCCAAATACACCCACCCCACGTACTCTCAACGTCTGTATAGAAAAGCAAACATTTCAACACATGATATCCTTATGTCAGAATTCTTTAATAGCTTTCATAGCTGGACAAGAAACCCAATCTTGTGAATGTTGGAGCCCTACTCATGCGGTATTGTATTTATCGTTTACTCGAGAGTGGATTGGGTCATCCAAAGGGGTACGGAAAGGCTGTGACCGCGTTACGTGTACCGGGTTAGGTTGTCACCTTAGGCTTGAACAAAAGGCAACCCGATACGCAATGGATGAATCAGGTATCTTGTGAACAGGGCCTGAAATAGTTTGTTTTTCCAGCATAACTACATAACAAAAAAAGTCGATGCGGACTGTGCGCCAATTTTTTCGTTGTCAATGTTGATGATTAAATGCTTCAACTTGAAATGACAATATCTGTATTTTATTGCTCTCTCAAAGGTATTTTTTAGCTCTTTGATGTCCCTAATTAAACATTCTGTAATTCTTCTTTAGGCGTACAAGAAAGTAGTGGAGCAGAGCGGACCATCAATGGCGCTACCAGGCGTAAATATGACTGACGACCAACTTTTCTTTTTGGCATCGGCACAGGTATTTTTCTTCTTATTATTCTCGAAAAGTTAGAAGTGATTGCTAATTCATTACTGGAAAAAGTAGGCCTTTTTCAAAAATTTATAATCTAACACTAACATACTTTCGATCTAAGCTTTCCGATGAGCGCTTTAATGAATCTAGTTTTAAATGACGAAAGAAAACACAGTCGATAGGTGACGCAAAACAATACCCTGTTTTTACGTACATCAGCAAAAAGGGTCCCCAGCAGTTTTGACATACCTTTTTATGATTCCTATGCTTCTTAATCTCAAGGCTAGAAAAGATGGGGCTCTGTAATATAAGGGATGGGTGGAATAATCTCCAAAATCCAATACATTGGGGGTCTAGCAAAAACGGGGTTGGTGGAAAACTTGTTAAATATATCAAACTGGGTGAATGACTATCGGTCCGAAGGAATATAAACAAGACGCGGGTTTCTTAAAATTGAAAAAACCTATTTATATCATAACCGTATATATAAAATGTAAGACCCTTATCTTCCCATGCATGCACTTTCTTATGCTACAACGAGCTTCGAAACACGTGATAGTTTTTTATCCACGAAGCTCGAAAATAATAACAGGGAAGTCTGCAAATAAGGATGTCATGGTTCGTTTTTTCTGAAAAAATTTCAAGCAAGGGAGGCGTCTTTACCGAACCCATGAGTACTTTAATTTTCACGAGACACATTAAAAATCCGAAATGAAGGTTTTATATCAGAAATCTTATATCTGAAGACATCTTTAATAGAGTAGGTAGAGTTTCAGCTTTTATGAAAATTATGATTAACCAGCCGATTTTACAATGGTTAATGTCACAAAGAGTGATCTTTGGTTACTTGATTTGTAAAGCTAGGTTACAAGTTGTAACTCAGGTTTCTGCCACCGTAACGTTGTTTCTAAGTCTGATTTTCAGCGTTTACTCTGCAATACGAAAGTTCTTCGTTTCAAGCTGTGAGATCATAATAAGTTAGGCATAAAAATTTTCAAATCAATCTTTAGACAGTCTTCGTACGTTTCACACTGAGACTGTGTATACGTTATGTCTCCCTTGCACTGGTGACGATAAAACCAAACACAACAGTCTACAACAGTAACAACAATATATTGCTTCGTAGGTTTGGTGTTCCATTGAAAGACGCTTATACACAGAGTCAAGCTTGAAGTTTGGAACCCATTCTCCTGGTGTATTCAGGTAAAAAATAATGTCGCTTTTTCATTACCTTAACGTCATTATGATTTTAGGGTTGGATTTGAAGCTGTGGTTGGGGCAGGGTCGTTGCTTCGGGGGATGTGGAGGGTGAGAGGAAATTTTTACTATCTTAGGGTGCTTCGCCGGCAAAATTTCAGATTTGTCGGCAAATAAAGGATGGTCGACCAACTTTGTCGGCAAATGGGATCAGAGCACCCCCCCTTGAAAACAATAGCTAGCAACGGCCCTGGGTCGGGGTTTGGGGTATGACATGTAATTTCCTGGAGCATGTAATGGAAATCTTTGAAACTTTAGGCTAATCACCTAGTCACCTAAATTTACAGCTATGTCAAAAAAATTCCCAGTTTAAGGCTCTTATAGAGTTCTTATAGTGATGACACCAAAAAAAAATTTTTTTGAATTATTTTAGCTCGGATTCCATAACCTGAAAGAGCGTCATGAAATACTACTTAATCTACACAATCAGTTAGATATGTCATGATTTGCCTGAGATATCGCCACATAAGCACAGGCTCTTTCCCCATGAAACCTCTGTAATTTGGTCTCTGCTCCTGTCATAACTTAATGGACAGAGCCAAAATAACAGTCTGCGTTAGCAAACTTCAGCTTTTTCATGGGACATATTTCACCTGATTTTTGACATATTTAACTGATTTTGCATATTTAGAAGTATTTTGTGTCATTCTATTAGGTTATGTGGTCAAAATAAAAAAATTCTAAAAAAAGATCTTTTTGACATCACACTTAAGAAGGCAATTGATTGGTCAATAGTTGGTCGACAGATGACTTAAACCACTTAAAAAGTATCTGTAAATTGTCTCCAATGTAAAGAATGATATATCAAAACAATTAAGAGATTCTACAAAAAAAGGAATGTGACGTTGAGATGAAGCATCAACTGTTGTAGATATATATTGTATATGTAACATATATATGTAACAGATATATATTGGTACACTAATATGATCTTTACCAATCAATAGGGTCAGTGGGCCTCTATCAAATTCAGAAGATTTTGCAAAGGCATACAACTGTCCATCAGGATCACGTATGAACCCTGTACAGAAATGCAGTGTTTGGTAATACTTATGTGAAGGAACATCGCTGTCTTCTTATCAACAAATGTGAGAAAGCTGAAACTTGAATGCAGGCTGATTTGAAGGCATGTTTTTGAAGATATGACTTGGAATATTTTTAGGAACTTAACAGTTAGTAAATGTGTAGCCGCTGGCCAATATAGACATTGTGATTCAAATAAATACAACTGTTTTTTGTACATGTTTTGTGTTGTCTATAAAGCTAGAGCAGTGCATAAATAAATTGCAACAATAGACTATGTTCTGTATGAGTCTGATGATGTCAGATCTGTTGCAATCCATTTAAGGTTTATGCATAAGTCGATGACCTCAGTTTAATTTTGGAGCATCTCTCGTTGTGCTAGAAATTGATTAAATCAACATAAATAAAAACATATGATTTATGTAAGCTGCGCTAAATAAAACATATGATTAACATTGCAAGCCTTTATATAATTTAGTTCTAGTTATTTTTTGGCACTGGTCCTTTAGCCAAGAACAGTCATGCATGGTGCAATGCAGGGTCAAAATGCATGTGTTCGAAGAGCAATTCCTTGGAAATATTCTCTAACTACTTATTCATCTTAAGAGTATTTCAACAAAGCTTGTAGCAGCAACAAAGAATTTAACAACTTAAATTGCCCTTACACCTGAGGTGATAACAGAAGTCACAACCATGACTTAGATAAAACAGCCAGAATTTACATGATGTAAATCAAATTTGTGTTTTATGATATTGTCTGATATATAACAAGTCATAATAAGGAGTACTAATACTTGTATATGTGTACCCAAGGACAGAGATTCAATCATACTTATTCATGTATAGTAGATGTAAACATGCCATGTTAATTATTGCAAAATTATAAAGTAGCTGAATTTGTTGTCTTGTAACAGGCATAATATTTTATGCACTTTTCCCAACTAAGCTTGCCATTAAAAGATATATAATTGCAAAGGTTCATATCAAAGTTAATCCAAATTTGTTTATGCACAATAAAATATTTCAATACATGTAAGATTAAATGATACTGAGAATCAAAGCTTGGCTTTTTATTGCACAAACTGATACTTTTATTGAGGTGTTTTTATCAAATTTCAAATGTAAGGGATTGTCTTTATAGAGGTGAGCAATACACTATTTCAGAGTTTATGATGAAATTAGCCTACACAGGGCAAACCAGCACCAAACAGCAAAGGCTGCTTGTTTCACAAATGATCTGAAACTCTCATTCTGTCATGGCAAGGCCCAAATTCATCTAGAGTTTGTTAAATGTTAAATCAACATCAGATGTAAACTATCACAACCATTCTTTCTATGAATTAGATATCCCACTTGACATCATCAATGAACAATAAAATTCAATGTGGAGTCTTGTACAACAGAATGATGTATTTTTCGGGACCTTAATCTGAAACATCCCAATTTACTAGAAGTATATTTTAAGGATAAGTGCCAAGAAACATTTCTTTATTCCCTAACGCAAATAAAAATCATGTTGCATCAGCAGTGAGTTTCTTTCAGCATACATTTCTACAAATAATTTGTATGTAGTATGTATGTATGTATTTATAACTTCAAGCACAATTTAGGCTAGAAATCATTTACAAAAACTCAAAACATCATACTATATGCTTGTAAAATAATTGATAAATTTTTTATTGAAAATAAAATGTATATAGTGCTTCAGGTCAGAAAATTGGTTTCAGAAAGGGGACACATCAAGCTTTCTTTAGTTTTTCAAAAATCTATGATTCTAAATATTATTGACCTCCCTGAATTTTCTTGACCTTTTTGAAAAACTTTAATTATACCGCTTTAGGCCTAATAATCTTGATACAATAGCGTCAGGCTACAGTTATTGGAAACTTCAGCATTCTTGTAGTACGAAGAAGAGCTGCCATACCAATTTTTATGCATTTGCATTCGAGAAGGAAGAAGCCAATTGGCCTAGCAGCCCTATAGGTACCTTGACAGGTTGATTGCAATTACTAAAGAGTACATTCCTTGAGTAAACGAGATTAAACAAAGTTTTTGTACACAAAAGATCTTACTATGAACTCTCTATACACTGTTGTTCTTCATAGAACGCCAAAAATAGGTTGTGTGCGCCATGTTTTTTGCTTGCCTTCTGATTTGCCTCCAAAATTTAAAACTTGCTCCTCCGAAGCACCACATAGTTGCTTTCATGCGTGTTTCACATTTCAAAGAAAAATGATCAGCATTTATGTGGGAGGTAGTGGAAGATCCAATAATTTGTTCGATTTTTCCCCACATTGAAAATGTTCCATTAATTTCACGCCACATATACGAATAGGGACCATAGGCATCATATGTAGCACCACGGGGGCTCGTCCCTGGGTCCTGGGAAAGTTCCATTTTAATTCATCCAAAATCAGACGAGAAAATGTAGACGGAGGGGCAATATTTGTGGATAAAATTGCTGTAAAGAAAATAGACGGATTTAAAGTGCCTTGAGGCATTCGTCAATAAAGCCCTAGAAAATATACTGATCTGTACTGTACCTAATAACATAAATAACAAACTTGTATTTTTTTTCTCTTATGATGTTACTAGCAATTCATCTGTAAATTATGTCGTTGAATAAGAATGGACTTAAATTTTGAATTCGAAGCCACGAGACATGATATCTTTAAACATTAATATGGACCATTGTGCCACCACAATATCCATTAAACTGAACTGACAAGCAGGAGTATCTTTGCAGCGAAAACATCATTTTATATTTCAGCTAAATGTAATATTATGACATTAATAGTTTACTATTTACAATGACATTAGTGACGTAAAAATAAGTAGGGTGAATGTAAAGAAAATTGAACCAGGCTGATGAAATTGCCACAAAACATCAGCTAGCGCTGCTGTAAAGCCTAAAAACTTTGGATATCTTATTCATTTATAGAAAACTTTGCTACTGAACATTGCACATTTTACACTGACAATCTCCCTTACATCAACGGCAATTTTCACAAAACGCAAAAATACCTAAGTAGTTTAGATCAAAGAGTTCACCTTAGAGTAACAAAAAAGCTTAAAGCTCAAACTAACATAGTATCACGACTTAAAATCTTAAAGATTCTATCTACGATTTAAAAGTTACAGAACATAGATCCTGTAGCTAAAGCTATCTAATTTAAATACATTATAGACTAATTACACATTAAATAGCTATGCAATCATATTGTCTATACCAATTTCACATGCTTAACCAAACTACCTACCTCTGTTTGACTACGATTTTTCTGTTGTGTGTTCTCGATGTTTACAAAAACCGACTTGAATTAAAGAAAAATTCAAAATTTAATACGAAAAGGAATGTACGGCGTTATGAAAGTACTTCTTTAAGCGTGAGCAGTGTGGAAGTATATGGTTATTGTGTATTCAAAAGTACTGCAGTGGCAAAAATTTCAAGGTGCTTGAGCCCCTCTCCTGAATACGTACTTGTCGACAATTTGGGCTCTAAAACCCCCAATACCCTACTGAGTCTCCACTGCGTCAAAATTTTGTAGGCCTGGGCCCCCTACCCTTCACCCCTTCAAAAAAAGCTTGAATTTCCACCCCTTTTTACTGTAATTTAGATGTGTAAAATTGGTTATCCATGCCCCCCCCCCCCCTATTCAATTGCATCTTATCTAAGGGATTGTTACTGCTTTACCGAGCAGATCACTCTGTATATCATATATAGAGAAATAATCGAAATTCAACTGTGCGAGACCAGCTCCCTCTCCAGAAAAAGCTGGGGAATCTTGCTTAAAAAGTAGTTTTATGTAGTTCTTTCAACTTTGATCGTCTTAGAGGTGATCATTATCCTTTGATCATGAGCTATAATCACGGTGTCAATACAACCCCTTGAGTGAACTCAAAGCGAGCTCTGGGAATGACTCTGAATAGAATGTTATTAATATCAAGTATAAGGGGGTATAAGCTTTGATGTCTCGAAACTTGAAACAAACACTTTGCTACACCAAAAGACATTATTCTTTGCCCTGTTCCCTTAGTTCAATTCTTTTTAGTCATGCACTACAAGCCTCAACCAAGCTACACCCGCTTGAAAATTTATTCAAGATAAGATTATCAAATACTGTAATGCCTCAAATAAGCGCCCGGGCGCTTTATTTAATTTTCGAGGCTCCAGGGTGGGCGCTTAACCGAGGGAGGCACTTAATTGAGGGGGGGGTGCTTTTTTAGGAATAGATTTGGAAGTAATTCAAAAAAATGAATGTGCTTTTAATTGAAGCAATTTTTCTTTCTTTCTTAAAATTGATAATTAGAATTCGAATAAGCGCCGTTTTTGAAGGTTTAAAGATGGGATATTTGAAGGGTGTGCGCATATTCGAGGGGGGCTCTTATTTGAGGCCTTACGGTATATCAAGCAAGAGAAGATCAATGTCCAAAATGACGAACGTTTGTTGTAACGGTCTAATACCTTTAATATTAGCTTTTTTTTGTTTTGGAAAGATGTAATGTTATCAATGAATGTTGAACGTAGAGACAATACAAATCTGTGATGTGAATTATGCAGAGCACCTAAGCACATAGCTAGTTATGGTGTTAGTGGAATCGAAAAGTACGTGCTCTTGCGATTTCAAATAAAATGCAATTACCTTCCCTCATAATTCAAATGACTCTTTCTCAACAAATTCGTCTTTTCTGGTATCTCATGGTTTCTGAAATTTTATAATCCTGTTTCGATCTAAACGCATCATTATAATGATTGGGGACTGTATACAGTAATCGCCCGCGTTTAAGAACAAATTTGCAAGCTAGATTTATAATTAGAGCCCTTCTAAAATGAGTATGAGGGAAATTAATGGGGTCAAGGTATAGTTATAATGTTTTTTCTTTAATTTCAAGTGTGTTGCAAATTCATTAGAATTTTTGTTTGATAAATTTTTTATTAGCATTCTATGAATTACACGAACCAAGCTCTGCTACCATAACGGTTTTACTGACGGTTGCGAAAAGCATAATGAAAACTCTACAGAATGCTAGATGATAGTTTTCCTTGTATATTTAGATGTCGTGTTCCATCTGGCGATGATTCAGTGCTCTGTTTTTTTAAGGCTGCAACCTACAAGACAAAGTATAGCATAAAGTACTCTGCTTTAAAGGGTGAATGGTTAAGCAAAAATCATACTGCGAAAGAAAACCGGTGCCACAAAACGAAACAGAGTGGCTAAGAGTTTTAAGTAAATAATTGTTGGTCCATAAAGGAACAACGGCCTAATTCTAATGTACAGTAAACTAATGCTCTATAACAGAGTTTTTAAGTGATGACGGCACAAATTGGCTGCGATGTGGCAAAGGGAAAACATGCCCATTCCTCCATCAAAGCACTGTATTTTGGTCAAAGTTTCAAACTCTATGAACCAAGCCAGACTTTATGTAGCAATTTCATAGCAAAGAAAATTTTTACACAAAAATTGTTAATAGCTAGAATAGGCTTATTTTAAATGAAAACTTGATCAAAGTATTTGAATTTTACGCTTTTGTGAACAGAACAGGACATTTTAAGTTAGTGCTCAGTGTTTCATACTTCTTACATCAAAAATCATTTTCGTATTTGATACGCCAAAAGTGTGTACAGCTGTGCCTATACGGCATCGATAACTTATTATAGACAGCAGTTTTCAGTAAAAAGCAATTTTCAGTATATTTATTTTATTTATCCTGGAACACACTGAATTTGCTTGTTATCTATGCCTTGATAAACTTTCAGCTGTAAGTGCCCTTATTCGCTTACTTAATAAAAGTTTGCTTAATTAAAATTTAATCATAACAGTAAAATCATGCCAACTCACCCTTGGCAGAAAGATAAGTCCTAGGGTGACTGTTGTACAGATTGTTATAGATGCTCCAATGATACCATGTGTGAACTCTTGATTATACTTTCTTAAAGCGAAGGCAGTGATCGAGCCGATAACGGAAAACACTGTGACGTTATAAACAGAGAAGCCAATGTTGTAAGAATCGTTCACTTCAGGATATGCATGGCGCGTTTCAAATGCTAGAAACAGGCCAAATGATAGCAATGCACCTTTGTAGAATAGAATACCAACAATCCACCAAGTGAAATTGACGCAAGTGCATACTAGGCTATACTCCTGCACACGCAGATCCTCGGATGGATGCACCTATTGTGGGGTAAGGATAATCGTTATTTTTCAAGCCCTCGTTATTAAAAGTAATAACAACTACAACATCATGAATAAACAATTGGCTGGATACTGCAACGTCATGAAGAATAGACTGGAACTAAACTTGATCGAATATTTTTAGCAGAAAATTCGGACAACCAGGGGAGGGGGTGTATCTTTGGAATTACTTGATATAAATTAAATGTTCAACGCAATAGCTGTTCTCCAGGACTTTCGGCAAGAATTGATCTTTTTGTCCTTTGAAGTTGAACGAAAGGGGAAGTCTTTTTTTTAAACTTGTTCATAAAAGTCCTTAACATTCTACTCCAGCTGTTTAGTAAAACTATAAATAGCAAATGGTTGACTTGAAATTCATCCAGTTTAACTTAACATCGGACAAAAGTTCGTAGAGGAAAAAAACTAAAGTGATAGATATTTCGACTGTTCAAAGACGCACCTCCGAAGGTCCCCATACGGTGTCCACTCTTATCGGATCGAGGAATTCCCACGTAGTCAAGAAGACAACATCGATTACAAACAGTGCTCCAACCATACCATAAAGATGAAAGTTACTTATCAAGCCGAGCTAAAATAGTATAAAAAAATGAAAATATAGTAAAATAGTACAAGATTATTGGTTCTCAAATTTAGAACATAGAGGTTCTCAAATTTAACATTTATTTGCGCATCTTTTAAAATTTGTGCATCTTTAAAAACTTGTGCATCTTCAAAAATATGTTTATCTTAAAAAAGATTTTTGGGGGTTCACCCCCTAGCTACCCCCCCTATCTCGTCCTTTGTTTATTGTCATACAGTGCCAAAAGAGCTGTACACAATTTGGCGTATAAACCAGAACGATTCTACGTTTCAGGTCCACGTTACACGCTTAATGCGATCATCTGCACTATTCTCTCTGTAGGTGTTATCATATTTTGATGTTCTGCCTTGTGAGCATACAGGGAATATTATGAGAAGGAAAAATTATATCACTTAATTTTGATTAATTAACAGCTCGTCTGATTCGGATACATACTCTCTCTTCCTACACTATTCATTTCTAAATGTGATATTAATTAAAGATCATAACATTTAAAAAGAAAATCTCTTTCTACACTATTCATTTCTAAATGTGATATTAATTAAAGATCATAACATTTAAAAAGAAAAATAATTATCATAATTGACCAAAACAGTAATACTCGTAACAATCTGCATTACCTTTTTACGTAAAAGCTTGTTTGTTATTATTCTAAAAATTCGCCATGTCTTTGCGAACATAGATCCAAACTTGAATGTGAAACCGCTGCTCAGGAGCCACAACCTAGCCTGAAAATGAAAAGCTAATAAAATGATTTAAAATGCTTAAAGACTCATTGCTAACAATGGGCCTTTGCGAGCGTGGCGATTGTCCAAACAATGGCAGTAATTGATTTTAGACAGTCTAAAAATGCATTATGGGATGCTTACGTAGCGCAATGGCTCATTGTTAGCAGTGACTCTTTAAAGAAAGCCATTTCTGTAAACAGACAAAATATTTTTCGGAAACGTGTGTTACCTGATCTCTAAAATCACCCTTTAGGAGCATTTTCGTTGAGGCATTTACACATGAAGTATATGATGTTATTAAAGAAAATTTCTTGATCGCTTGAGTAGCTCTCTTGAACATATGAACTATTCTAATACGGGTAAATTCCAGAAAATATTTATATTTAGTTTGCTTTAAACATTGCGCTAAATGATAGACTGCAGACTTTACTTAGACGAAATAGAAAATTGTACCGAATTGGTAACTCTATTGCAGGTTTCAAAGGAAGATTCTTTTAATAATTAGCGCACACCCAAAGTTTCCTAATTATTAAACGGAAAATCAAAATCTAGAAAAACTACGTTACCTTCCAGTTAGCTGTAATTTGACTGTTGAGAGGTAAATACGTTTCCGTTCCAAGCAATCCAACGCTTGAGTAGCAAAGGAGACAGCCAACCAATATAATGGCGTTCATTCTTGGCGAAGATTTCTTTATGTCACTAGAAAAATTCTACATTTGTACACGCAGAAAAGGGTATTTTGCAATGTATAATCGAAAGGGTGAGAATGATTAGCTAGCCCCCATCGTGCTCTCTATCAACCCAGCCCCCAATTTCCCCTCAAACCCCCATTCAAAGTCTATGATGTAAAGACTGATTTAGTTTATGATGTAAAGACAGATGCTGTCTTTAAAATCTTTTAGGAATAAATATCAAGCAACTAATACATTATCTTCTTCTCATTCTTACAAGCATAAATTATTACGGAGCACTGACCCTGGTAGAAGCGAGCGAATAGACAAGGAGTGTAAGAAACTCACGCAGTGTTCCAGAACTTGATCAGCATGAATGACAATGCGATTGATACTGCGATTCCGAGGCAGGAAAAAGTTATCAGTGCCAGCGAAATCCAGTTTGGCATCTTGTGGAGTCTTTTAACAAGGCGCTCCCTATCACGAGGCGTTACTCCATCTTTAAAATAAAATGATTTCTATGCATAAGTATATTTAAGAGGCGGTCATATCATTGCATCTTTATTATAGCTGCTTGTAAGCATAGGAAACAAATTTAATCGTGAATTTTTAAATGATAAATGATAGCTAGTACTATAAAGAAATAGAGATAAAATATGTAGAAAAACTAGAGTTATTTTTTTCATTCTATAAATGGAGGCAGAAGCCGCCATCCAATAGATTTTATTCAGGTATAAAAATCTGAAATTGTGAGAGATTTCATTTGCTAAATTTGACTCTATTTCTCAAAAATAAATAGAGTTTATAACAAAACGTTTCATAGGCTGTCAGGCATCTGCAAATTAAAAAACTTTGGTCCCATGGTTAGTTCTTTGGCCTTGCTGAAAAAAGGCCTTGTTAAGAGTAAAAAACAGGGTCTCCGACAAAGATCCGCTTCTTTGCTAAACAATAGAGCTTTTACAAACTCTTTTGTAACGGGTGTTCATTTTTTCCTTGGCCTCCCCATTTTCCAACTTGTGTCTGGGGCATGAAAAAAACAAAATCGCAATGATAGTTTTAGTGGCGCAAACTAAAGGTGACTCCAAGGGCAATTCCCCTGCCTCTACATCTTAATGATAGACTGCAGACTTTACTTACACGAAATAGAAAATTGTACCGAATTGGCAACTCTATTACAGGTTTTAAAAGAAGATTAATTAGTGCACACCCAAAGTTTCCTAGTATGTTTATCGAGCTGACATAGCTCGATAAATATACTCCGAAAATAGGATATTCGTCTTTTGAAATGTCAAAGTAAATGTCCACTGAAACTCAATTCCGGTCTCTTGGTATAATAATGAAATTATGCGAAGACCATTCAATTTTCACCTACTTGGCCAATGGAAAGATTTCGCCTCATTCCAGAATGTAAGCTCGTTGCTGACATTATCAAACGTAGCCACTAGTTCTTCTTTCCCATCTGAAATTAGTAAAATGATAATCATAATCATAATCATAAAAAGCTTTTCACAGTTGGTTTATTCATAGTTTAGCAACTAATTTAGATCAACTTTTACAAAAAAACATATAAAACCTAAGTGCAGATATGACACGTACATCTATTTCTATCCTAACTGCGTAATTCAGTTCTAAAGTTTTTTGGCAAGGTCCTTCTTACCTTACTGAAACATATAAGAAATAGCATCACTACAAAAAACATTTCTAACAAACTATTTAATTTCTAGCAAACTAAAAATGCATAAATGAAGGTAATATGTTTATTAACAACTATAAATTTTTATGTTCTGAACATATGATCAGTTTTTTGTAAGTTGAATTTGCTTAATTAACTAAATAAAAATTCACAAACATGATAGACTTTGAAAATGTTTTATTATTGATAACTTTTTTATTCTTAGAAATGACTTAGGGTAGAAATAGAAGCTAGATCGAAAACTTTTCTGAAAAGATTCGATTTTCATTAACGCCATTTTCTGTGAATTTTGAATTACATCGACCAAAGGCTTCATGCTTTTGTTAGGCAAATGATATTTCATTGATTGGCATATTGCTTGATGTTTACCAGATTGGCGTATTAACTTTTGATATTTTATACCTAATGAAATAGTTGCATGCTTCACCTAAATTACAATACATGCAAGCCCACCGTACAGATAAAAATTGCTTCTTTAAACACCAAAGTAGCTCATTGTTACCACTTGGATGGTATTGGAACAACTACTTGGCCTACGTCTCGCGAAATAATATGTACCAGTTTCCCTTATTATAAACCAACATTAAATTGTAAACATCAATAGGAAAGCAGATAAAGTCTCAGGGAAATTAACAAGCGTAACTACTGTTTCTAACCTTTAACTTGTTGGATAGCAATGTCTACCAATCGTTCACTTCTTTCATTATATTGCACTAGGCCCTACAACATAACACCTAGCTTAAAAGAATGTGCTACAGAATGCATCTTGACTAAATTCACAGAACTACTGCATCAGAGCCAGGAAAATGTTGCAAAGCTTGGAAAAGTAAGACTTAAAGGTGCCTAAATGTAGATGACACAAGATTAGCTTATTATACGAAGAAAGAAAAATGACAACGTTCAAGCTGATGAAAAATGAAAAATGAACGTAAAAAATTGTGCTGATGTGATTCAGCTATTACCTCTAACTAAGACTATCCCTAACTATAACTATCCCTAACCAAGACTATCATACTATTCTTAGATCTATTTGCAGCAAAAGAAAGAGAATGAGTATAGTAAGTTCTTTCAAGTTCTTTCGACTATGCTTAATCGTTGAAGCTTTAGCCTTGGTCATTCTAAGAAATCAATCCAGAAATTGCTCTACTTCTGCCCACACCCATATCTGTCCAATCTGTGCACACCCTTGTGTTTCTAATTTCTCTTTTCTACCTATGTTTCAAACTTTGTCCATTGTGAAACACTAAACGGCGATTTGTTTGTAACCAAGTCATTAGATCGTCTTCATTTGTACAGAAGTAAGATGTGAACGAACAATTCACACTTTCAATGTATTGTTGCCAGAATATATACAAATTAGTAAATAAGAAGCTTGGGGCAATAGTTTCAATAGATAGTTGACAAGATAAGTAGAAAACAGCACATTTTGTATCAACGTAAAAGATACGCTGTATCATCCAATGGGAACGGCGCATTTCCAAAAACAGAATGGATTACATGGACTGAAAATAAGAAGGTTGTTCCAAGTGAGCTATTTTAAGTGTGCATATTATCCGGTACCAGTCAACATCTAACGAAGGAGAAAATGTAAACATAATAAGCATTGTGACAAATTAAAAAACTTTCCACCGCCCGGAGGAAATGCTTGTGTGTTTGTAAAAAAGACACATACAGTCAATCCATGAAACTTGATTCTTCTAAAAGCTGCCTTGATTGCTAAAGCCGCAGTGTGGTTGCTGTAGTCCATGTTGGTCCAGTTGACTACATGAAATGTATCTCGTATAACGAGACCAAGAGATACCAAGGCATCGAAAGCGTATGGGCTGTAGGTTCGGTAAAACCTTTTCTTGCTTTTTGCAGTCTGTACGTACCGTTCATATAATGCCAATCTAGTCTTTAAAAGAAAGGAGAAAGCATCTTAGTTTGTACTTAGGTTTAGCACATAAAAATACTCTCTAGTAAAGGGGAGGGGGGAGGTTGAGTTGTGGGTTAGGTGGTCAGAATTTCCTTATACCAAAATATGAAAATTTAAGCTTTTTTAGAATCTTGAGGTCTCCCTTGTTCACTTTAAAGCACTACACATTTTTTATTTGTCGAACGCTAATATATGCATGCAGCAATTAATAATTGCTGTTAATTGCCAATTAAGGATTTCTTTTTTAATGATAATTCCTCCTGATTGGCTTGGTTTTAACCAATAAGTACTACTAAGGAAAAATATTAACCCTTCCTGGTCTGTTATCAAGACAATGCAAAACTAATAAAAACACCCAGTATTTCTTATGTGGCAATATCATTCAATATTTTGAAAAGTCAAAACCTCTTTCTGTTTATCATAAAGAGTTTGACACCAGCTTCAATTTCAAAAACAAAAATAATTCATCTCATATAAAATTTTTCCCATATCAAGCTCTCATGTGCGCATATGAAGGTGTTGATCATATGTAGTAAAGAGGGATTTAACCATGAACAGTGCCAAGTGCCAAGTGCCTGGCGATGTACCCTGGGTGCCAGAGCCTCAGAGCTCAGAGAGTGAAAGGATGAAGAACGGGGGAAGGAATTGCGAAGGAGAATGGAATAGTAAAAGGGAGAGGCTCTGGCACCCAGGGTACATGAAAAAGTACATCCAGAATTTTTTTATGACAAGATCCCAAATCAGCACCAAATGCTATCTATATCGTCATGAAATGTATTTTTTAAAAAATTTCAACATAAAAGCTAAGAGCAAGACTTAAAATGCTTGTTTTAATTTTGAGGTATAAAATGGTAAGAAAATTTGTGAAATGTCCCAAACAAAACTGTCAATTGAATAGCTCTATTTTTTTTAAATTGAAAAAAAATTCACATTGTTAGCCTTGTACGTTTATCAATAAACAAATTAGCATATGAAATGAATGAACAAATGTGTAAATGAAATAATACAAGAAACAAGTGATTGAAGGAATGAACGAATGGATTTATAAAATAATTAGCTAGAAGTCTAATCATTAATATTATAGGTCTATAAATGAACGGATAATTTGATGAATGGAAACTCCAATTGAATATCAATTAGATAATAAATCAAAATTTTTTTCTACACTTAAAAAGTAATTGGCTACTCTGAACGTAGTTTGCTTATTGAATCTGGTTGGAAACATTGAAAATCTTCAACAACTCCATTCAGAGCTTCAAGAAAGTATGGCTTAAAAATGAATTTATTACCTCCCCAGTGACAGTAGTCTCATTTGTCAAAATGAAATTCAGTTGGCCAATGGTTATGGCGTTGTTAGAGGCACTGATGATGTCTGATGCTTTGCAAGTTATTCGAAAGTCTTCTTTCTTTAGTCTGTCTCTGATATTCCCATGTATCACCCACACGTACTTTTTGCCGAAAAGTCCAAGACGATGGGCCTGGAACAATAAACGATCAAGGTGCTGCTAATGAAGCGGAAATTGTCTAAGAATATTGACATTAAACTAGATCGATCACAAATCTCTGCATACCGTCGCCATAGTATACAACAAATTGGTTAACAGCAACTTTCATAATTTACTTAATACATTCTGAATAGTTAATCGCAGATGTCACTAAACTCATCTATACCTTAGGTTTATATGATGTATTTTTAAGATATTGATATGGTCATTGTTTGCATGAGTTTTGACAATTCAGTAAATATAACAATAATTTACAAATACTCACAGCACAGAATACTTTGCGAGCAACCAGCGAAAGGAAATCACCAATGAAAATTCGAATATTTTCTTCCTAAAACAAAACAGTGAAAAGAATAGGTCGGAAAAAACAAGCACTAAATATAATTTCAAACTTAGATGGCGTTTATTACTTGTAAATTTATAAGAATTTCGGAATGACATATATATTTCACGATTGCTTGACGATTGATTTTGGGCAAACTAGTTTTGCGATGGCAGATCAAAAACAACAACTAAAAGTTCGATTCATTATTCGTTCTGTTTGTGTCTTTCTATAACTTCCATTTATTTTCGAAGAAAGATCATTTTCTTGTGTAAAATGAAAGTATCAAGAAAATTCGTAAGAATTCGGAAATTGGAAATTAGAGTTAAAATGAAAATTAAGAAAATAAGTAAGAAAAAAGAGAGCTTGAGTATGACCAAGATACCTTGAACTTCATGAGAGCCTCTTCAATGTTGCTATCCCATCTACTGACACCAACAGGGCCAACTACTGTGCTTCCATATCTTGTTAAACTTTTGTGAAGTAAGGAAGAAGCCTAAAAAGTAGATTGATGGTAAGAAATCTTCATAAGATTCATAACATAACGTAATCTAATATTTCATAAAATAATATGATATAATATGAAATAATATAACATAATATAATATGATATAATATAATATAATATAATATAATATAATATAATATAAATAATACGAATATAATATAATATAATATAATAATATAATATAATATAATATAATATAATATATATAATATATATTAATATATTAATATAATATAATATAATTAATATATATAATATAATATAATTAATATAATATAATATAATATAATAAATATATAATATAATATAAATATAATAATTATAATATTATAATATATAATATATATATATAATATTAATAATATAATTATAATATAATATTAAATATAATATATATAATATAAAAATATAATATGACAAAATATAATATAATATAATATAATATAATATAATATAATATAATATAATATAATATAATATAACATAATATAATATAATATAATGTAATATAATATAATATAATATTATATAATATAATATAATATAATATAAAATTCATACAAAACACTCAATTTTTTATACTGTTTTTGCAAGGGAAATATTTAAAGCAAAACACTTGTTAATAAGTACAAAATCATCTTCATTGTTGAATATTTGCTTTTTAGAGAATTGCGTTTGATTTATGAACTTATTTATTTGTAAGGTGGGGGGGGGAGGGGTGCTTGTTAAAAATGAGCGCTTGAGCGTAATGAAGTTTGCTTAGTTCAATTCAGTTCAGATTTTATTTCTTAAATTCCACTACATACAATTTATCGATAATAGTACTATTACAAACAACTAAACTACAGGAATTACACAACAATATAACAGTAAATCAATGCATCAATCAATACAGAAAATTAATACAATGGTACAAAACATAGAAACAAGATAGATTGTATGGAGGGAATTACTTAAAGGAGGAGCTCTCTCAGTAGGTAGACTTATAAAGGAGAGAGCACCCCCTATTTCAAATGTATCTCATACAAATCTCATTTCTTCCATTTATATCATGATGATGGCCAACACTCGAACCCAGGGCAACCCACAGCCGCAGACACAGGAAACCCCCAACCAGCAACCGAAGGCAAACAAAGCCGCAAAGGGCCCCCAGAACCCAGCCGCTTAAATAAATTGCCTTTTTGCTGTTTGTTGAGACGCAGGAAATTGGTATCAAAAAGACTAGTAGCATGTTCAAAAATCGGGCTTGCTAGAGATGGTGTTCTTGCATTGGATCTTTAGAAAATACGGAAAAAAATAAACTTACCAGGGCAAGAGGAGCGTCATCTCGATCGTATATCAAACCAAATCTTTTCCAATTGAATCTGGAAAAAAGATGAATTCTCGCCCAGTTGAACATCTCCGTGGATGGGACTGTTCGGAAAAAGTACGGGAACTCCAGCAGGTTGTTAAAGTATGCATAAGTAGATCCAAAGGAAATCTATAAAAAGATTTCAAGGTCAATTATGATTGCTGAAAATCAAGCCACGCATAAGGACTTTATAGCCAGCCCTTACACGCCAGCCCTTACACGCCAGCCCTTACACGCCAGCCCTTACACGCCAGCCCTTACACGCCAGCCCTTACATGCCAGCCCTTACACGCCGCCCATGGTAATACTCCTAACAAATTAAGAAACTGGAGAAGGCAGTAGAGTTTAATTATCATTAGGGTTCAAGAATAAATAGATCTCAATCTTCCCATAAGCACAAATCCAACAAATTACTAGAAATTGGCAGATCTAGCAATTTTGTCAGAGCAGAAGAGTTGGTGACAAACGCAAACGGTTCGACGACCGAGTTGCCCTCGGATTTGCGAAAGATGCAATTGTTTATCAGAAAGATCGAGAGTATCATGAAAAACGGCTAGAAAAAGAAGTTGAATAGGGATAAAACCAAGAAGGAGCATGATAAGAATAAACATCTAAAAGTGGAAGAAAAGTGGAAGATCTGATCTCACCCTAAATCAAGGGACACTTCACTAAGTGACCTTTAACTTAGCGACCCTTTTTTAAGCGATCCTTTACTAAGCGACCCTATACTAAGCGACCCTTTACTAAGCGACCCTTAATGAAACCAAGCGACCCTTAACTGAATGACCTTTAACTTGGCGACCCTTCTCTAAGCGACACTTTACTAAGCGACCCTATACTAAGCGATCCTTTACTAAGCGACCCTTAATTAAACCAAGCGACCCTTAAGCAAGCGACCCTCAACCAAGTGACAAATCGATCCTTTACTAAGGGACCCTTAACTAAGCGACCATTAATTGAGTGACCCTGTACTAATCGACCCTTTACTAAGCGACCTTAAACTAAGCAACACTTAATTAAGCGACCCTTTACTAAGGGATATAAGCGACAGAGGAAGATTTGTGATCAAAGCGATGCTTCATTCACGTTTCATCTACTCAAGTTGAAACTCAAGTTAAAAACAAATTTCGTATGTTCTCCTTGAACTGAGAGATACAACAGCAGGTAAGCAGGTTTCAATAAGAGGATTACTTCTAGCTGCAGATTTACACGCTAACTTGGCATCTCAAGTTTTCTGGCCGTTGATAATTTTACTGTTATATTTCTATTTGCTATCAGTTTCAAAGACTTTGATAATTTAAATCTGAATGTGTAGTATAGATTTACAAAGGATTAAAATTATCTTGCTAAGTAAATTAAAAAGCAGTCAATACGCCCAAATCTACTTGAAGATT